TAAACATACTACATAAACATACATAAACACACACACACACACACACACACACACGCCAGTTTAAAAGGGAAGGCAGTCAGTCACTATAAGATTTTGCTTCTACACAAGAATTAAAAGACCAGGACTTTTTTTGCTACCAACAGAATTAGAGCACCCCACAAATCCCTGTGTTTGATGAATCAAAAACTTGCAGTTTATTTAAAAGTCTTGTATTCTGCAATAGATGTAAGGTTTATCAAGCAAAATTACAGGCCTGAGCAGAATGGAGTATATTAATGAGAAGCCATAATGAACAGATGTGTTAAAACTGAGTCATAATGACTCAGCAGTGCTGATGCAACTCATGGATGATTCAACTCAGGGATGATGCAACATGTAATCTGATTGGTCCTGTATATGTATATAGGTGTGAGTTGTACAGACAATGTATCCTTCCTGCTTGAGATGACTGTTACACGTTATGCTGCCAGACTGCTGTAAATACTGTACTCTGTAAATACACGTTGGTGGAGGAAATGCTGCTGGAGTGTGCGTGAGTTATTTCTGGAATGCCTGGACTGTGAATTACTCTGCTAAACTGCGATTTGCGCTAAAAGAACGCTAACAAGGTTTATGCGAATGATATGGTTTTTTAAAACAAATCACTGTTAAGAAGAAAAGCACCTCTACAATTTTTTTGCAACAGAAGTGCTGAAATGCTAAAAAGGAAGGAAAAGCTGTCATACTCTTACCCAACAGGAGAAAATTTGAATTTTTTTATCTCATCCATGAGAATGAAATAAGCAAAGATTTACATCCCTAATGCATGACTTCGAAGGTCTTTTAAGTAGCAAATACAGCCCTCACTCAGTTGCCCTGAGGGAGAATTATTCAGAGCCAATTGATTCATTTTTGCAACAAGATTACAGTGCCAGCTTTCTCCTTGAGCGATACAATAACATCTGTAATGCACAACAATACTCAAACTGTGTTTTGTAACATAATTCGCATTTTACATCTTTCAGACATCTGATTGGGAACAGAACGAAAACAGACATAGCATTTTAAATTGTGAATATAGTTTTATGAATTAATTATGAATAAAATTTTGTGTATTAATTAGATCGGGGGGGTGAAAAGCAGTCTGTAACTGGAAAACATGGATATGAATAAAGTCAAGTTTAGAAAGTTATGACAATTCTCATTCTGTATCACCTGCATCACTCAGAGCATTTCTATTTTGTCAGACAATGTCAAGAGGTTCTAAATATTCTATTTATACATCCCTAGAGGCATTGTTCATAGCCAACATTCTCTCTAAGCTGTGTGGGTGCATGTCTGTGCAGTGCTGGATCAGTGCCCTGCACCCTCAGCCAGTGTTGCTGCCCATTTGGTTTTGCTTGCGAACAGAACCATGTGCCCGGTGGGGCAGGATCCCCATCCGGCGCTGGCAGAAAATTATAGGGAATGTTGCCTGTGGCCCAAATCAAAATCACACCTTCTTATAATGGCTATGATGTCATAGATGCCTCGTGACTAGAGTGGGGGGAGCCCCGAGTGGCATACCTTCTATCCTGTCATCATCATCATGTTAGAACTGCAAAGGTGGAAGAGACCCTATGGATCATCGTCTGCAGCCCCTGTCAAGGAGGCAAAGAGAGAAATCGTACTCCTAACCTCTGGCTTTGCAGCCAGAGACCTAAACCACTGAGCTATCCAGCAGTTCCACAAGCGACTGTGTGTGTGATATATATGCTTTTCTACAATGCAGCCAGGAAAACACCTGAGCCTTTCATTGAGCATACAGCTCTACAATTCCCCTGAACACAAAGATAATTTGCCAGTAGCTACTGCAGTTATTTAGCTGTTTTAAAATGGACTGAGGAAAACATTGAGATTAGAAACTGCTGATGAATTAGTGACAGCTTGGAGAGTTGAGAAGGTTTGGGAACAAGAGACCAGGCTGGATAAAGTGTGTGTGTGTGTGTGTGTCAAGGTTACCTTTCTCTGCTCTGCACACATGGGTCCTCTGTGCAGCAGCAGCAGCCAGCAAGACCTGAGGGACAGGGAGCAGGTGGCCAACTGGGATTCCATCTTTTCACTGCGTGTCACATTCCACCAGTTTGGTGGGTTTGAGTGTGTATCTGAAGGTGGGTACGTAGGAATGTATAGGGATTGTTAGTATATCACCCATTGTGCTACACAACAGTATCCTATCCAGAGCGAGCCAAGTACATTTCAGGGATTGTTTGCCACAGATTCCTCAACTTGTTGTGGTAAAGGATTCCAATGTCTATTCGGAGACAGCCTTATCAGGAGTGACTCAGAACTTCACATCTTCTTTGACAACTATAGGTCTGTCCAAAGAGGTATCTGGCCTTACTTGTGCAAGGCACAGTCTGAGTCTATTTTTTTCTGTACAACGATTGAGGTTGGATGAATTCTCTGCAGTTCCATTGTCATGGAGAGAAGTTTCAACTCACTGTAACTCAAAGCCTTCAAGGGAGGAATGATTAAAATGTGTTCTTGTTGGTCTGCAGGATCTCTAGCAGCTTTCGCAGTAGTCTTCTGGCTCATTCTTCACAGTAGCCTTCTGGCTTATCTTCCTGGGATGGACTTGAAGGACCTTTTTTGCAGTGATTTCAGTTCTTCTGTAGGAGAGAACTCAGAATATGGTCCTAGTATATTCCTATAATTTGACACAACTACAGGAGGCAGTGGAAGCTAGGAGGGCCTGGCATGCTCTGGTCCATGGGGTCACGAAGAGTCAGACACGACTAAACAACTAGACGACAACGGTATTCCTATTCAATGCCAGGAGGGCCTGGCGTGCTCTGGTCCATGGGGTCACGAAGAGTTGGACATGACTTAACAACTAAACAACAACAAGGGCTTATACAGTGGTGCCTCGCTTAATGAGCGCACCATATAACGACGAATTCGCATAGCGATCCCTTTTTTGGGATCGCTAATGCGAAGGCATACCGACGGTCCCAATGGGCAGAAATTGCATTGCGATGTCGGGCGATCAGCTGTTCGGCGCTTCCAAAATGGCCGCCGGATGACCCAAAATGGCCATGTGCAGCATTTTCGCGCCCTGCCCTCGCTTACCGAGGGTGCGAAAATGGCTGCCGCTATGGGGAAACTTCGCTGAACTGTGAGTTTTGTGCCCATTTGGATTTCCCTGTTCCGCATAGCGATGTTTCCCCATAGCGAAGGTTAATCCGGAACGGATTAACCTTGCTATGCGGGGCACCACTGTATTACGAGCATCATGAAAAATCATACTAGGACTTATTTTCAGGTTAGGTCTTATTTTCGGGGAAACAGGGTACAGTATTACATTTTTAGCTGTTTCAGAATTTGTTTTCTAAGCTTCCTTGGGTATCTTCATTAGGAGAAAGTAGTATATAAAATAAAATGAAATAAAATACATAAATTCTTGACATCTTTCAATGCCATTATAGGCTACCTCTTTCTTCATCATCTCTATATTATGGAACTTAACTGCTGTTCAGGGGAAAATCTAGTGATGGGAAGCTTAAACATATAACCAATGGAGGAATAAATTGCCCAAAGAACTAAGAATATATCCAAATGTCAATTACACTGAAGAGAGAGGAGAGAAATGAGGGAGTGTCACATACAGCACTGATGGTACCTGTCTGTCATGGGTTTGGAGGGAAAGTTCCATCCTATGGAGAGTGGAAGGCGGGACATCAGGGGGGAGGAGCTGTACTGTATATATATGTGGAGCTTGTGTGGAGAGTGAGGAGTTGGAGTCTGTGTGTCAGACTGAGTACAACTGTGTGTCAGTTAGTACATACCTGATAGGTTCAGGTTTCTATTTAGGTAGCCAGAACTGATAGGTTCAGGGTCTGTGCGTTACCTTAAAGGGTTCAGTGGGAACCAAGCTGTTGTATGTATGTGATTGGGGTTATGCCACGTTACATTATCCTATTTACCTGATTCTTTTATTTACCCTGTTTGTTAATTCAATAAACCTTGTTCTTTTATTTATCAAAATCCATTCCTGGTCTGTGTGACTCCTTACAGGGAATGGTTGGTGGCAGCATAGTTACATGGTGGCATACTCCAGTAGGTCTGGGGTTGTCACAGGGAGGAAGGGAGGGAGAGAGAGAGAAAGGGAAGGAGTGAAGGAGAAAGAGAGAAATACAGTAAAGAGAAGGAGGGAGAGATGGTGAAAGGGGGATAGTACCAGTTCTTTGCAAATTCAATTGTAACTTGACTACAAGACTCTGTGAATAGATGATAACCTCAGCAGAGATTACTAGGAACAGCCAGAAATTCCACATTAT